AATATGCAAATATACAGATGGCAGTAGTATCGCGTAGAAAATGTATATATGCGAAGTGCTTTGGCAGTGCTTTTCATTTGTGTTCAAGTTATTCATGTGAAGAGGCTTTGACGTGATTATGGCCACACGACGAGAATTAACAGACTTTGAACGTGGAATGGTAGTTGGAGCTAGACGCATGGGTCATTCCATTTCGGATATCGTTAGGGAATTCAACATTCCGAGATCCCGTGTCAAGAGTGTGCCGAGAGTATCTAATTTTCAGGCATAACATCCCACCATGGACGCGCAGTGGCCGACCACCCGCAAATTAACACCGAGACCAGCGACGTCTGCGTAGAGTTGTCAACGTTTCACAGACAACGCAACACTTCGTCAAATAACCGCAGAAATCAATGTGGGACGACGAGGAACGTGTTCGATAGGACAGTGCGGCAAATTGTCTTTCCTTGGGCTATGCCATAGAGACCGACTAGAGTGCCTTTATTGACAGCACGACATCGCCTGCAGCGACTCTCGTGGGCTCGTGAGCATATCGGTTGGTCCCTAAACGAATAGAAAACCGTGGCTTGGTCAGATGAGTCACGATTTCAGTTGCTAAGAGCTGATGGTAGGGTTCGAGTGTGGTCCAGACCCCACGAAGCCATGAAACCCAAGTTGTCAACAAGGCACTGTTCAAGCTGGTGGTGGTTCCATAATGGTCTGGGCTGTTTTTACATGGCATGGACTCGGTCCTCTGGAGCAACTGAACCGAGCATTGACTGGAAATGTATACCTTCAGCTACTTGAGATCACTTACAGCCATTCATGGACTTCACGTACTCAAACAACGATGGGATTTTTATGGATGACAATGCGCCATGTCCAATTCCAGCGAATGATCTGGCTACCTAGATCGCCCCACATGAATCCCATCGAACATTTATGGGACATCATCTAGAGGTCAGTTCGTGCCCAAAACCCTGCACCGTCAACACTTTCACAATTATGGACGTCTATAGAGGCAGCATGGCTCAATGTTCCTGCACGACTTCCAACGACTTGTTGAGTCCATGCCACGTCGAGTTGCTGCCCTTCGCCAGGCAAAAGAAGAACCGACAAAATATTAGGAGGTATCCCATGACTTTTGTCACTTCAGTGTAAACTAAACCTAAGATTAAAGCTTCTGTTCGAGGGATGGAATGGCGTATCACAGCACAGTAAATTAAAACATGAAAAAAATTTGTGAGCGCATAAGGATTTGACTTTGTTTTCCCGTCTTCCATACTGCCCAATTTGAAGCACTGGGTTTTGCAACATGTTGTTCCCTTGTAAATGCATAGTGATTGGGAAAACCCTCTTTTCCACAATGGCATTTATCTGATGTTTTCTTCCCGAAACGCTTCAGATAGCTGAGAGACGGCTCATGATGTTGTAGAGTTCCTCATTCCTTTCCTGCTGAAATAAACAGTGAGGAACCTAGTGAACTCGTTAGCGACTTATCGCTGAGTTCAAACAACTAAGACGTAGACTCAAGAAGGGTTAACTACCCTTTATTTCACTCGAAATAAGATGAATAGTTGGCGCCTTTCTTGGGCTTATACAGACTCCACTCGGGCTTGACCTCAAAATAAGAAATGAGAACTAAATTAGAACTAACTAAAAGAGACTTAGCCGAATCTAACACAAATCTAACGTAGTTGGTCCTTAATTTAAACTAGCCGGCGAATATCAAAAGGCACGTAATATGCGGCCAAGCATAACAGCTTCAAGAGAGATTTAACCCGAAGGCAAACACGCGCTACTGAGGATTCTTAGCTATTTCTCACGAAGCAAGTTGAACCTTCTATTAATACTATTTCTAACTCATTTGCATTCAATGTGATTCTAAAAACTCATTATGGTGGGAAGTCGTAAGTAGAAACAAGAATCGATAAGAAAGTACATTGAAATTAAAATAACTGTTATAAAATTAAATATACCTTACAAGCTATTAAGAATTGTGTTAGTGATAGGCTGTTACTAAATTTTAATTTTTGGGCAAAACTGAAAGACATGTCTACATAAACTGAAAGACTGTCAGATGATCACTGCTCCTGTAATTTATTTATAAAGTGCACAATTGCAATGTGGAGATAGAACAATGGAAGTAGTATTAGCTGTTCTGGCATAGTTACACCATTGGCGGCTTGCTTCGCAATCTCATCAGTACGATTATTACCCTGTGTTACAGTGTGTGCGGGAATTTAATAAAGAGGGTTTGTTTGTTCGGTGGTAATGCAAACAAGTCTTGTCTGACGTTGTACTACACGTAATGCAGTTGCGTCTACGCTTAAAGCTTAGTCCCTGTAAATGCTTATATGTTCTTGATAGTCTTTCTCATAGCTTATTGCTGCTTCAAGGGTCAATAGCTCTGCTTGAAAGACTGTGTTGTGAGTAGGCGTTCTTCCGATTCCAGGTTAGTTCGATAAGGTTGTTATCAATGCAGCAGAAGCTACTCACAGTGCAACTGTCGGTTTCCGAGCTATCTGTATGGAGAGATTTCGGACCTAAAGTTACCTAACGAGAGTCCATGTGGAGCTTTAATTGCGACGAGCTTTAACTGCGTCGAGCTTTAATTGCGTCGAGCTTTAATTGCGTCGAGCTTTAATTGCGTCGAGCTTTAATTGCGCCGTATGGTGTTCGAAAGTACCTCTGTGGTGCCCGAAGTCTTTAATATTAGATTCTGTGCCCTATAGGGTCCGGCTTTGTTTTGGGCTAGAAATATTCCAAGAAAGGCTTCATGCTTAACTCTAAGATCTAATGGTGGTATTCCCCTAAAACTTGAAGGTCTGTAGTTGAAGTTATACCATAGGCCCTGCAAATATGCAACAATTGATAAACAAATAATCAAATTGAAAATGTATTCAACATCTTGCACAACTTATGTATGCGCGTCGCTGAAACAACTTTCATCTACTATATTTTTTGTCTGAAATCTAAAATTTGAAGGAGAGCAGTCTATCAGAGAAGGCAAAACATGTCGTGTATCTGCAGGTAACAGTGTGGCTCTATTTCTGTAGCAGTCAGATTCGTTAAGAGAATTATAAAACTATCAGGTATTAAACTCATCTATTTAAAAGAACTTCCGGGACTTACATTTACCGCCTGGTTTCGATAAATAAATTGAATTTTCAGTTACACTAGTATATAACTTCTTCACTGTTGCAGAATCACAGTTTCACAGGCACAATCAATAGCAATCGTGCCTCATATCGTGATATTGACTGTCATGTATTCAAGCCCAGCAATCAGGGGTTGAAAGACTCCTGCCATTGAACGAAAATGCCCAGTACATCTCTCCGTCGTCGTCCTAATAGGATAGATAGCTTTCGAAGCCATCTTCAGAAAATGGAAGATAGATAAATTTAAAAATGAGAGTAGGCAAATGCCTCCCATAAAGTGGCGTCAAACTTCTGCTTCATCGTTTTGAAAACATGACAGCACGCAATGTCTTCCAAAAGTATGACTCTTTTGCGACCGAAGTTACAAAGATGTACTTGCTTTATTTTCCCATTGCAATCAGAACACTCAAAAAGCCATTAAATTAATTTAGTCCATCAGATAAATGTCCTTTGTTTTAACCTCTTTTGCAGTCATTCCTGCAAAAAGAATCGCATACTGTCTGCATTTGACTCATTTGGTTGCAACGAAATATTACGTTGCGTAATCCGGATTCTATTAGCAATTCTAAATGCAACAAGTACCGTACAAATCGCATTGTTGAACCACGACTTCATATCGGCTCTTCAAGGATCCAAAACACAAAAAAGGACACAATGCACAACTTCTGATCAATCCCATTTGCAGTAACCAACTTACATAGATATCTAAGTTTTGCAAGAGTCTAACCTTTTCTAAACCCAAATTCAAGTTACAATTAGTTCTAATATACATCTTTAAGAAAAATTAATTCGTATTTGAATAAATTAAATTTTGAGAAACCCTTGTTTACCTTATTAGGCTTTCATAACCGTTTTTCGTTTAAATGATTCAAGTTCAATAAGCTGCAATAACAAATTATGATAAAAATTTGAGATAGTTTTATTCCCATCTGAAACCGAAGGCTTGCTATCAAGAGTTGATTGACTTTTCCTTTGATATTTAAATTTTGGAAAATTAAATTACAAGGAGATTTTTTTAATTTTAAAAATTAAAAGGAAAAACATCATTGGAAAAATGTTTTAGCGAATACTGCAAATTAAGAAAAATCGAAATTTTAATTCTGCGGAGCATTCAATTCTAAGTATCATTTTACATAGCGGAGCAATTGCTTTTCTTTAACTTAGAAACCTATATCAATTTTATTTATTCGGGTTTTCTTTTTCTACACCGAATGGAAGCAAATATTCATTCTTATTTAAATGAAAGAAAAATTAAGCTTAAAAGAAATTTGAAGTTTAAAAGAAATTTGAAGTTTAAAAGAAAATTATTTTCAGTACTTTATCCTGTGGTTTGTGTGTTTGTTGTAGCTATAACAGTTGTATCCTTAAATTTAACACGTTTTTTTAATATATGTATCTTATAATGTTTGCAATTAATTTTGTATCCTTCTTTTATTTATTTGCATGGCCGACATATATCACCCTATTCAGCTTTCGTTCCTTAAATGGGACATTTTAATAAAACTTTTATTTTAATGGTTTTGATCCAAGACTGTAAATGAAAATAAAAACAACTATAGAATACTATTCTCTCAAAACTTTTCAGTACAAGTAAATTTAAAGCGTTTTATTATTCGGTTAAGGTTATTTAGTGTCAAAATAATTAACTGCACCCATTTTAGTATTGTATATTCATATACGTTGTCTTGCTTTTCTCTGTAAATGTGAACGGGTAAATTAACATGATTCATTTTGTGTAAACACCATTACGTATTTTACTTAACGAAACAGAGTTAATTTATCATTCTTAATATAACCATCCTCATTTATTTTCGCTAAGTAAATCATGAAGTTAATTACTTTCTGTTTCCTTTCCAGGCTATTTTGATCACTAAGTGCAGTTTTTTATAATCCAAACAAGAAAAGTTAGCCTCTAACTACAGAAGCAAATTTTGATGGAAAGCTGTGATTTAGGACGCTAAGAAAAATGCAAGTCAGTGATAAATGTATGAAGAAATACTGAGAAAATATCAATGACCAAACTCTCACTTGGTGCTTAAAGATTGTTATTCCCAAATTCATTAAGTCTTATCCCGTTCCAAGATGATGAACTATTACGATAATGTGTCATAGAAATGCAACATAGTCAAAAACCATTTACTAATGAAAGTACTAAATTTTAACATTTGGAATATCGTAGCCATTGTCAACTGCAATGGTGCGTCGTAACAGGAAAAGGCTTTTAAAGCTGATGCTCACAATTTGCGTTGCAGTGTTTTGTGGTGGATTGCTGCTGAAAGCTGCTGTAACATCTTTAGAGTTGCAGACATCTGTAATGGTTGCCCTAGAGCACGAAAGGAGTGATACCTTCCTGACTCGACTGCCAGGAATGAGTATATTCCAACAAGTTAAGGTAAGCAGCACTGATGCTTTTATGTTTTACGAGCTTTGTATCTATGTATCTCTGAATTTAAATATTGTCCTTCCTCCCATAATTTTTCATTTTTGGTACTTAAGCTGTCCTACAAAGAATGTAAAATCGTAATGTTTGCAACAGCATATATGATTAGGAAGATATAATTTCAAAGAAGCCTTAAAGTAGTGATCAGTAGTAATAAAAATCTGGCTTGAATACAATTATATATATAAAATGTGCAGTAATCCAACAACGCGTGAAAATCCTTTGAAATTGTTTAGGAACTTGGTCTAGGCACTGACAATTAGTAACATTTTCTACCATTAAAAATCCTTTATTTGTTGTCCTTTTCCCCCTTCAGAAAAATTCTTATTTAATATGCATTAATTCGAAAAAAATTCCATTATTTTTATGATTGGATATTCAAATTAATATTTAACTGAATGGAATAAATCTTCAGATTCTCAAAAAAACAATTCCAGTATTGATGCTCAGGTGTTTATCTAAAGCAGTGGCTCTAAAATGTTTTGATTATAGGATCCCCTTTTTTAGAATTTATTTATTTATTAATCTAATTTAATTATTAATTAATCTAAAAATAGTACAATATCACTGAACTGGAATTATTTTTAAAACTTTGAAATTTGCAATACTAACTCAGTTTATTATCTATCAACTCATGGTTTTGCGAAAATTCTGCCTAACAAAAATATTATTTCAAAGTTCAATAAATCAAACCATTTGCATTATTACAGATTATATATCCATACAATAAAACGCAGCTTTTTTAGTTTAATCATTATATTTTTTTCAATTGAAATACATTAATTATTTGATACTCAATACTTTTATTATTCCTTACATAAAACAATTTCAATTCTAGTTTACCAATTAGATTGCACCGTAGTGCAACAATAATGATTGCAATGTTTGGCATAGATTTCTTTTTTTACATTTAATTGATGATAATTGCGGCGCATTTATTTTACTATAATTACAGATCTGCAGTTAAGCACCTTCTATATTTTGTTTTCGTACTTATATAGGTGGAGAGTCCTCCTTTTGAGACATATGTAATTGAGAAAAGCAGCAATATTACCAACTTTGCTTTCTCAGACAAGATCTTGAAATAATCTTGTAACGCAAAACTTCTGTAGACTTTGTTTATGAAGCGCGATTTTCAGTATGTTATAAAGTGTCGGATTCTCTTGAAAGGGAGCAGGGTGGTTTTTCTCTTCACGCAAAACACATTCACAACCCATATGAAATCACCAGGCGCTTTCTTCTGAGCTGTTGGAAAATAATGTTAAAACGAGTCTTTAAAAATTTCGAGATCTACCCGAATATTTTTCTTTATTTTTTTAAATTTTGATATTATTTTCATTTTTGAAGCTTTCTGTAATTGGGATGCAATCGATATCTTCCTTTACCATGCACTCCAATTTATACATACGTTTCCTCTTAAAGGAAGACATTTAGTCGTTTACATCACAAATCGTGGCATTTTTTTCTTTGCAATGACGGAGTCATTTTATTCATTTTGCTACAATTATCGTCCATTTATGCCAGTTTGCATACCCGCGCTCCATCATCTGGAGCCGTCGCTAGTATAGAGGAGGACGGGTTATGGTACATAAAAAATGCTACTCCCTCTACACACAACTCCATCAAAGGTGTCAGCGCTTTTCCTGGAGGCACACTCCTTACTTCAGCGTGTATCACGAGGGACTCATGGTGGCTTCCCGAAATTCACACATTAGTTCGGAAAGCCTGATTTGAAAAGATTACGATTTAATTTATTATTTTTATAGCGTCATTCAAGTGTACCATAAGTTCAGAAGATACTTTCCTCGGGACTAATGGGTGTCCGTGAAGAATGCAACAGCCGCTGTTGAATTTCTTTCCCTAGCTTTAATTTTAGCTATGACCCTACATTATTAACACATTAGCAATGGCCCCTGTCTTTGAACTATCAGTGTTTCGTTTGTATGTGTAAACTGCGCATGCATATAGCATGCGCTGTTTTCCTGTCGTAGTTCATTAAATGAGAAGAATTTATCCAAAGGGTTAAATATGTCACCTCCTGATATGCTTATTGGTTGGCAGTGCTAGATTTTTTCTTAAATAACTTTTGAATTTTTGTTTGTTTTGCTCAACTACCTCTTTATCGTCTCCTCAGATTCGTTCCTCTTTTTATCTGAAATGTGTGCTTCCGTGGATCCTATGGCTTAGTGTTAGCAAGCATTCAAAAAAATATAGCCATCCATGTGATATATATTATAAATACCAAGTCTTCAATCTTTACTTTTCTGCTGATCATTCAGGCAGTAAAATTTAATTATGTCATTTTTGTTACGTAAATATAGCATTACTGTATATTTTATCATTAATCACTGAAGCAATTAAATTATGACTGACTGAAATAGACACTATTAAAATGTAAAAAACTACGAGTATTACATTGATTTTGATTTCTGTAACTGCTCTATTTTTTCCTTTCGCAAAACTCTTATTAAAAGTTCGTCGCACCAAGTTATTTCAGACTCACTACTATCAAGATCACAATATGAAAGGAAATAATATATGTTATAAACACAGATGAATGACTGGTTTCAGATCAGTGGAATATTTATTTGTAAAACCTGTACTCTGAAGAGCAGTCTAGCACCCACTTCGCAATTAAATAATGTTTTTCCTCTTCTTGGTTACGTTAAGTTACAATAGTTTTCTATACAATAATGAAACGTTCAGAAATATGATGGAAACGTTAAAATGGTCTGTTTCTGTAGCAAATATGAATTATCATCATACGATTAAAAGTGCCTGATCTGTCCTGAAAGCTAAATTAAGATATTTCTTTTTACTTTATTTTCATTATTTATCAAAAATGTTTTAAAAATGTAAATTTTTAACTACTATAATTCGAACGTTTTTACTGTATACAAAATGTTAAATATACCCTGGGTTGCAAAACTTAAGCAGAACTTAAGCAGCTATCTGATTTTCTCCGTAATTCTGAAAATACTCAACTTGGAAGCATGAAATTCGTACAATAGAGGCACAATGTTGTACTTATGTAGTACTTAAAGGATGAGAAAAGTATAACAGCAAAAAATGAATAGGACGGCTACAGTACGGATCAAATAAAAAATGGCTTTATTGACAGAAAGACATTGGTTCAAACAACTATTTAACCAAGAAAGAGAACAACAAACCCGTGAGCCTTAGTAAGGAATATGACCTCCCCTTATAGCAATGGTTGCGTTGCCACATCTGTCGATACTAAACACCCGATTATCTGACGGTTCTTGGAGTAAAGGTTTCAGTTCTTCAAAGAGAATCTTCTTCAAGTTGTCTGATGTTCTCCAGAGGGTAAGATCGTTCCACTAGGTGTCTACCTAAAATATCCCACACATCTTCAATGAGTTTTGAATCAGAGGAGCAAGCTAGCCAATCCGTTCTGTGGATTCTCTGGTAAGTTTACAGAGACATTAGGTACTTTTTGGAAAAGCAGGAGAGATCAAAAATTAACAACACCTTCGCCGGGAATCGAACCACGGACCTCTGGAATACCGGCCCAGCGTGCAGAACCACTATACCACGAAGGCACGCTAAGAAGGCGGGAGAAATACCTTATAAGTGAACTGTCAAAAATGTGGTGTATCGTCCATCCCTTCATGATAATGCCTCTCTAGTTAAACAATCCAGGACCACTCAAACCCCGCTCTGATAGTAGTGGCATGTAAACATGTCTCTATATTTATAAATCAAGTAAAACATCCTTCTACGTAAGCTTCGACTTCGAATTCTTGTACATTGGGGTAGCACAACTGCCCATTTCTACTGTTTAAGCCGTGAGGAAAGGGAACTTGTTGTGGCATGCAAAACATTAATTTTCATACGCTTTGTATTACTAATAACGCGAGTATATTGCGCGTCCTCTAGCAGGCGATCTGTTTTCTGCTAGAGCAGATGTGAAACTGTAAATATTCTCGTTCAGAATGCAATATGTTAAATTTGATTCTACTTTTTGTTTCTTATTCTTTAAGCTCATCAATTTTTAATCCAAAGGGCCAATTTGCCTAGAAGGACCATTAATTTCATTTTGGCATTTTGCGTTGGCTCACTATAAATGTCGGTTCACTTTTCAAATTGTAGCCACCAAATATTATCGCCCTGAATTATATTTAAAGAAATTAAATATTGAAGAATCTGCATAAATGTATATATGTTTCTCGCATTGTGCTAAAACGAAAGGCATGAAATAGTAATAATCTTGAAAGGCAACTTATGCACTGATGAAATTGGTTAGGTTATTGGAGTACGCAAAAGCACACCAGAGCTGTTTCTTTAAGGGAAGGGGGCTTCCATGAAGGACTTTCTGACTCGTATTGGATAAAAGCACAATATGAACCATACAGCTAGCATCCACCGATCTTCAGCAGCTCGGCCACTGGTGGATTTTATTGGAAATTAAGATCATTCTTTCCCTAAATTTTGTATAATATGTTCGCGATTTCACAGAGCTTATATTTTTTATGGAAAATCACACCTGAGCAATCGATATAAAGGTATGAGGCTGATTTTCTGATTTAAACTAGCCCGCGTTTACGTGTTTCAGAGAACGAAACAAAAAAACTCAAATAACCGCACATTCAGCTGTCCAGAAAAGAAGTCTACGCGAGCTCGCCAGTATTTCTGTATTTTAGTCACTCAGCCATTGTTTTAGTAAAATCTGAAACCCTGGAAAGTTTTACAAGTGTCCAAACAAATGAGAGTCGCTTTTTATCTTATATCAATTATGCTTCGGGGGTACATTATAAAGAATAAAAAGAAATGTGATTTTAATGCAGCTCTACAAATCCTACTCTGAAAGGAGTAATAATTTAATACTGGACATTTTAAATGGTAAAAACTGTCATATGAGTGATTGTGAAATAGGACATAAAGCGAGAAACAATTAAATCGGGTAGTGAATTAGGTTGGTACGAAATGAA